GGAGGTCAGCAGGCTGGGGAGCATGAGACCACAGTGCACACCTGCTCTACCCCCACACCCCACACAAATCTGGGGGGCGTGGGTCTCCCTTCCCCCCCCAGGAGTGCACACTGCCTGTGGAAGCCAGCCCCACCCAAGCCTGCAGCAGGCAGCAGCAGGGGGAGAGCTGGCTCATGCTCCTGCTGTAGCAACCACTGCCATTCTTTGGTGGCAGGGGGGTGTGGACCTAAGTCCCTGGCCCCATAGCCCTGGCAGCTGGGGGTCGCCTCCAGCAGGGCTGGGAGGCAGGGGCTGTTGGCAAGGGGCAGGGGGTACCAGCAGGGCTTGTGGAGGGGGGGAAGTGAGGGACACTAGCAGGGCTGTGGGGGGCATTTAATTTTAACCACAGATATTGGGATTTTTATCAGAGAATTTGTGACTTTTCTATCACGGAAAACCAGGATCCTTGAGGAGGAGTAAATGTCAGTGAATGGAGCGTGTATTGTGTACAGGTTTCCCTCGCTTTATGCTGTATGTGCGTTCCTGGAAAACAGCACATAACTCGAATTTACATAAAGAGAACCCACTTTACAATGTAACAATTAGGAATATGTTCCAAGACCTCAACTGTACTGACCCCCAGACCCATTTCTACCACTTTTACAAGACAATTTTGGTACTCACTAACAGTAGACAGTACCCACAAGCACAGGGCACTATCATAAGGGATGGGCAACTACAGAAATACGTGTCGCAGACAACGAGTGAGGAGCACAGATCCACTCAGGAGACTATGTTTTAGTGTGCGTCACTCCCACAATACACTGCACAAGGCAGCTGACTGTGGGCTTCCACCACACCGATTGCATAAGAATGAATTTACCTTGCATATAACAAAATTTTGGTATGAAAAGGGTCATTGCATAAGAGCGAATTGGCACATAAAGAATCCATATAAAGTGAGGGAAACCTGTATTGATATTTCTACTCCATAGTGAACATCCTCATTTAGTTTTCCTTGCTTGCAATACTGGATATAGTGTCTTTATGGAAACCCCTCCATGATCTAGTGCAGCATGAACTCTGTCCACAGTCCATCTGAAAGTCTTGGTGGTGGTGGTTGACACCACTGGCACTTCTACAGATGTTTTCTATGGTTTGAAAGTATTTCAAATTTAGGTAATGGCTTTTAAACTCATGTTTCAACAGCAGTGTCAGCCACCTTTGATTTGAAAGAGTAATATTTAGTTTGGGACTTTTTGTAGCTGAAAGAACACTTTAAACTGATGAGTTAGGTTGTTTGCTTAATGGCTGTAGCTGCTTTGTGGTAGCCCTGATTTCACTCTGTTTACTTCATTAATGATAGGTGATTGTATGGATTGCGGATCATCCATAAATTGCCCCTAATAAGAAGCCCACCCAGAAATATTTAGGATCAAAAGGAAATGTGATTTCATTATGCTTCAAAACACCTCTCCCTGCCACTTCTCCCTTCTTCCCCGCCCAGTTTTTCCAGTAGTCTGTCATCTGTCGGCCATCTCTGCACTCCTTTTCCATTGCTCCTTCAGTAGTGTAAAGGATGACTTGTTGCATAAAATGAGCTTAGTTACTGCCAAGGCTACCAGGTCCTTTCCCTTGGTTCAGATTGTCTCGTGTTTTGCTGTATTTGTTCTTTTTAGCATTCCTTCAGATGTCTCAGCCAGTTCCTCTGAACTGCAATAATTCCTTCAACATCATTAAAAGCAATCCAGTTTACATGAATTTCTTTATAAAATCCCTCCTCTTGCCTTTTTTCGGAGGGAGGGGATTTGGATTTGCAGAGAACTATTATACTTTATACTAGCTCTGAATTTCTTGCAAAAGAAGGTTAACTTTCCTCTATAGAGGAAAAATGTCTGTAATCCAAAGAGTAGCCATACATTATGTCAAAATGTGCCTCTGTTCCCTTGTATTAGAGAAGGAAGATCCTTTCCTTATATCTGTCATTTATTTTTAGCATAAAGCAGAATAATACTGGCAGTTTCTCAAATGCAAAGAATATATACAGTTACTAATGATGCATCAAAATTAATTTTTGCATCTCAAGCAAAACCAAGGAAGTTATTCTTCCACTTTACTCAGCACTGGTGCGACCACAGCTGGAGTACTGCGTCCAGTTCTGGGCGCCACACTTCAACAAAGATGTGGTAAAGCTTTAGCGTGTCCAGAGAGGAGCCACCCGTATGACCAGAGATTTGCAAGACAAGCCATACAAGGAAAGGCTGAGGGACTTGGGCCTCTTCAGCCTAAAAAAGAGCAGGCTGAGAGGGGACTTGGTAGCAGCTTACCACTACATCAGGGGAATACATCAAGGGCTTGATAAACAACTGTTCATCAAGGTACCTAGAAATCTTCAAGAGGAGACTGAACGGTCAACTTGCTGGGGTCACATGACCCCAGTTGTCTTTCCTGCCGAGTGCAGGGGAACTGGACCCAATGATCTTGCGAGGTCCCTTCCAGCCCTTACAATCTGTGAATCTAGGAATATTTAATTACTTGACATACTGGTAAAAGCTCAGCAAATCCTCTAGCTTCAGAAACCTTTATCAAACCAGGAGGTACTACCGTTCACGCTTTTTTTTTTTTTTTTTTGGTTGAGATCACTGACCTGTGTCACTATGATTTGGATCTAGAAATAAGCTGTTAATTCTTCCTGCATCAAAGTGTTGACCTAATTGGTTTAACTACAACCTGTAAGCAAATAGCTTAATTCACAGTTCTTCTCAGATCACAGAACAGGGTTTATTTTTGTTTCTAATACATAAGTTTTGCAACTCTTTTGTTAACTAGAAAAATTGCATCATGTTTAAAGAATAAAAGTAGCTATTACAGGTAAGGTATGTTGCCTGTATTTAATCATCTTAAACGATATACAGTCCTTATGAGATTTCTAGGACTGAAGCCTGCTTCTCCATATGGGTCTCTGGACCATCATTTCTAGCTTGCAGTATTTTTCTCCAGATGAATCCTAGAAAGGAAGTGAAATACTGAAAGAATGATGCATTGATATGGAACTAAGAGGTTGCTGGTTTGTATGTTCCAAAATGGGGTTTTATGTACTCTTAATAATACATAAAAACTATTGAATTTCTTTACTGCCTTGGAAAAAACTTGAGTTGAAATATTGACCTCTGTGCAGTTGATGTCAAAACTCCCAAGTCTACTTCTTAAAATAGAAGTCCTTCAGCTTTAGAATGTCTTGCTACCATCAGTGTTTCACAGTGGATAGACAGAAAATTTTCATTGGCCCTGCAAGTGACCTCTAAAAATCAGCATTTAGATCTGTGATCGGCAATGGTTCTAGAAGTGGGGCAGAATGATTCAGCTCAGGTCTAAGGCAGGTCAGCCCCTGGATCACTAGTCTCTTTTCTCCCTACGCCTTAGGGCCCTAGTGCTGCTTCTCCCAGTGGCTTGACTGTGGCAAGGATAAACCCCCCAGCTATGGGACAGGCAAAGCCCGCTGCCACTAGAACACTGTTGAAACCCTCAGCTCCACAGGACAGATACAGGCCATGGCTTGCCAACCCCTGGTTTTGAACATTTGCTTTAGGCACTGAAGTTTAAAACATTTAGCTCAAGATTTGAAGCTACATTGGCTCTTTCTGTAAAAGTTGTTTTACATTCAAGTAGGAGTTTATCTTACAGTACTCTCATAATTTGAAGCTCTGTTAATACCCAAAAAACCTGTTAAGCAGGTAAAGTATTACTTGATTAATGGACTAAAAAGTACATATATATGTGGAAGGTGCAATGATATTTGCCAAATTTATAAAAGGAACATAGAACCTCTGTAAAAATTTGAAATTTGTAACAAAAAGAATATACCTGGTGACTTGATGGTTTTATAGTATGTATAGTTATGCTTACACACACATTATGCCTGCATCTGTTTGATTAATAGCACTTTAGCTCTTTTGTTGCTTGTTCTATTTTGCCATAGCCAGGTTGGGGAGTGGGAAAAATATGTTTCATTGTGATGTTCATACCTGAGCATAATATTGCAGTATATGTTACAAATGCTGCGAGTCCATGATTACTCAACATTTAAAAAATAATTAAGCTACTTCTAAAACCATAGAAGTTCTTATAAAAACTGTTTTCCCCCAGTGAAATGTCCCTGTTGAGTCTATCTTACCTGGCAGTGTCTCATTTAGGGAGATGGAGTTATGTACAAAATTCTGTTGAAACAGAGTGGAAGCAAGTTATATTGCTGGCAGTGTATTTCTGCTAATTAGTCAATCTGTGCATAGTAAATAAGTCTCTCTCTGTCTCTGTCTCCAGAATCCAGCCATTCCCATGCAGAAGCTACAAGATATTCAGAGAGCTATGGAGCTACTCTCTGCCTGCCAGGGCCCAGCAAAGAACATTGATGAAGCGACCAAACGTAAATACCAGTTTTGGGATACACAACCTGTACCCAAACTTAGTAAGTTTATCTGTGCTTGTGTAGCTAAAAGGAATAGGAACTTTAACAGAACTGAATATTCTGTAAATGCTATAAAACAAATAAGTTGCACTGGTTGAACATAATTCCTTATCAAGAAGAGTTAGGCTTTGGAAGTTAATTCAGTTTCTTTTAGCCATCTGAAATTAGGCTAATTATGTGGTTGTTTTAAAATAGCACGTTTATGAAATGGTATTAGTGAAGCTCATTCTACTGTTTCATGTGAAAATAGGAAAGATTGCATAATGAATCTACTTGGTCTGACATTGGGATGAAATCAAGAATTATAGAGCTAAAAGACATGTCATACTTTAGCGAAAAGAATAATTTTGTTTGGTAGCATTGAAAATGGTTAACCTCTTATGTGGAGCAGCTGTCAAAGAGGGACAAACATTCTTGTTATCCAGGTAGAGGTAATGCTGTTACATGCATATTGATTTTTATGAAGCTAATTCTTCTCTCCTACACATAACTATTTTTATTCCTGATTGTCCACCTATTTCTCTACTGCATACAGTACCTAAAATCACACTGATTCTCATGTGTGGCCCATCCACTGAGTTCACTGTACATGGCTCTTTCC